CCGTCTTTCCACCCCCGGCACCACCAGCAAGCTTGGGGCATCGTGTGTCTGAACCTCCTTTGGTGTCCAGTACCGCTTCGTCGTCGGCTGCACCTACATCTTCAGCTACGTCAGGTACTCCGATTAGATCCAAACCCATGCCTACCAGAAGGCGTGAATCACGCCGATTTCGACGCAGTCAATCGTCTGATCTTAGCTGAGTATGCCCGAAGTGACAGGATTTCACTTGTATCTGTGACGCATGCGAGTGCTGAAGTGAGGAAAGAATGTGCAGTGGACGCCAGTGCTGTGAGTACTTTTTCATTAATGTTGTAGTGCATACCAGAACAGTGTTGCAGCACCCTGCTCAAGTCTCGTTCCATTGCACTAATGTCGAGCAACTCAGCGTGCGATCCGTTGGCACCTCTTCAACGCTGAATTTCCTACACACAACAGGAGCTGATCACAATCAGAGGTGAATTCCGTCACTTTCGCGAAGAAGCCTTATCCGTCCAGAAGATCCAACAAGCCCAACTCGACGTGCTCACCACACAAATCAGGGACACGGAGACTCAGGTGGCGGAAGTCATGTCCGCCACCACAGAACTGTTTCAGAAACTTCAGAAGACCAACGAAGTGGTGGGCAACTTGCTGACGGATTTGCATTCTCTTCAATCTGTGACTACTCATTGTGTTAATTCTCTTCAACTACAAGAAACAACAGAGTTGCCCCCAACGCTTCCAGCAGAAATTGAAGTCTCAGAGTGAAACGTGAGCAGTTGCAAACAAGCGTCTGTGCGCCAGTGTCACTGCAAGGGTGTTGCAAGGGATGTGCAAGGGACGTGCAAGTGACGTGCAAGGGATGTGCAAGGGACGTGCAAGTGACGTGCAAGTGATGTGCAAGGGTGATGTAAGCGATCTGCGGGCACCATGTGTTGTGAGCATCTGCAGACATTGTCCTGCCTCATGCCCCCAAGGTTCCCTGTAGTGCAAGACAGATTCAGACCGTACAAGTAGCTTTTCATCATGTCGGTGTCCAGTTTCGAGAGCGATGCTGCCTCTGTATCGGACGTGCATTCTTCTGACTTCTCGTCAGACCTTGCAGCATCAGACCAAGAACGTGATCGACGTGTAGATGTGGCATCAGGTGTTCCTTTGGCCAGTGATCCGGATTCGGCTGATTTTGATCTTGATCATGAGAGCATTAATGCGTCTTTATCCATTGACCGACAGTCTGCGTCTTCGTCCTCTGGTCGATTAGTTCATGCCCCAAAGCCGAAGCAGTCAGTTGCAGAGCAGACCAACATGTTGCAGACGGACCCACCGCGGAAACGCAAACTTCGTATGATCGATGAAGGACCTGATGGTGTGCGCATCAAGATTCGTCCTGCACCCAGTAATTACCCAATTTCGCCGCAGAATGGAAGGCACGAGAGTGCTTGGTGACGATTTTTACATTCACAACAGAGCTCAGTTCATTCTCGATTTCTTGAGACAGCATGGCCAACGCATTGCCAAAGAAAAGCAAGGCCCTAGGAAGCGTTTTTCGTCCACTTTGAAACTTGTGCAGTACGTTCTTGACCGAAAGTGAGAGATTGCACAAAGAAAGTGAAAGAAACTAAAGAGTGCGCGTGTGCAGTGCTGTGCATTATCAGCTTTCTGCATGAACCGTCTTGAGTTGCAGCATTTGGCATCCAGTGAAACTGTGTAGGTTGCCCAACATGAAGCGCAAGGCCCGCGAAGCCAATCTGCCTTGGAGCACGAGCCGCGACTACATTTTTCGGATGTGGGTTCGTGTATGCAGTCGGGCAACCGGACACGAGACTATTACTCTCCACATCCAGTTATCAATCAACGATTCCATCAACGTTGCCAAATACCTTGTCGCGATGCAGCTCTGGGAGAAGTTCGGCTGGTGGCCTAGGTTACACACCTTCCAGCTTGTACAAAACTTTCGCCATCTTCGGTTTACGGAACCTGTAACGACTGCTCAAACCCTCGAACCAGTCGATTTCGTTGTGACGGTATAAAAAGAGACCACCTCTGTGTCAAGTCAAGAGCAGTGACGAGCAAGGGACGTGCAAGCGGATTGCAAGTGATATGCAAGGGATGTGCGAGGTTCGTGCAAGTGCAGTGCAAGAAATGTGCAGAGTAACATGTCAGAGACGTGCAAGTGCTGAGGTGTTGTGAGCTGCTTTCATCAGACATGCAACAGAGTTTTGTTTCAAGCACTCTGAAAATTGTGTAGACCCCGAACAACATGGATTGGGCTGCTTCTGACGTGCTCGAGAACATCTTGATGTACGTGTTGCCGATCAGAGCCAGAATCACATTCATTACCCGCCTCGATCCAAATGATGACCCAGAAGAGGCACAACCCATAACCGACACCATGGTGGCGTACACTTTCCTGCGACGTGGGATACAGGAGTTTCGGCTGTCCTCCTCGGTTGAGTTGACCATGGGCTTTCAGTCTTTGCATACCACCATCCGTTTTGCACAAATCAATGCCGTGGCTTGCACTATGTTGAGCAGCCCGTCAAAAAGGTGGATGAGAGCTGTCGTAGACCTAGTACAGGAGCGTTTGCGAGTGAGTATTGTGTCACTGGCCAACGTTGCGTACCAAACTGCAACTCAGTGTTGCATGTACTTCGATGCTGATGCGGAAGCAGCAGAAGTTGAATTGCACTTAGTGCACAGACTGCGCTTCCTGAAGTTTCGTAGCCCACTTTCCTAGGTCTCTTGAGCATAAGACTTTCCCATGAAATTCAGTGAAAAAGCAGCGCGCAAACACTGTCTACATTGCAAGGTGAGTGCGCACTGTCCTGCAAGTGCTGTGCAAGCGATTGAACAGATGCAATGAGCCCGGTCGGGCCTGTGTGTGTCCATCCCTGTTTCGAAGGGTAGGTAAATCTGACTCGATTGAGCAGGGGCAAGGGCTCCAGTGATCAGCCTTGCCCAACGAAGACAAATCACTGGAGTGGATGCAGTGGTTGATCACCACTGTGTACCTGCTTTCGGATTAGCCAGTGGGCCCCCTGAGGCACTGGAGTAACCAACACTAGAGTGACAGCTTCACGTTTGCCACTGTCGAGTTTCCTGCATGGTTGCTGCAATCTGATCATTCAGGTGTGACTCAGAGCTGTGTTTGAGTGAGGGCTTGCTTTGAGCTGCTGACTTTTCCTGACAGTATGCACCGACAGATCAGACCTGCGACACGATGTGTCAAGTGTGTGTGTGTGTGTGTGTGTGTGTGTGTGTGTGTGTGTGTGTGTGTGTGTGTGTGTGTGTGTGTGTGTGTGTGTGTGTGTGTGTGTGTGTGTGTGTGTGTGTGTGTGTGTGTGTGTGTGTGTGTGTGTGTGTGTGTGTGTGTGTGTGTGTGTGTGTGTGTGTGTGTGTGTGTGTGTGTGTGTGTGTGTGTGTGTGTGTGTGTGTGTGTGTGTGTGTGTGTGTGTGTGTGTGTGTGTGTGTGTGTGTGTGTGTGTGTGTGTGTGTGTGTGTGTGTGTGTGTGTGTGTGTGTGTGTGTGTGTGTGTGTGTGTGTGTGTGTGTGTGTGTGTGTGTGTGTGTGTGTGTGTGTGTGTGTGTGTGTGTGTGTGTGTGTGTGTGTGTGTGTGTGTGTGTGTGTGTGTGTGTGGTGTGTGTGTGTGTGTGTGTGTGTGTGTGTGTGTGTGTGTGTGTGTGTGTGTGTGTGTGTGTGTGTGTGTGTGTGTGTGTGTGTGTGTGTGTGTGTGTGTGTGTGTGTGTGTGTGTGTGTGTGTGTGTGTTGTTTTTGCCGTTGCAGTTGGTGTTGCTGCTGCCGCTGCTGCAGGTGTTGGTGTCGGTGTTGGGCTTTGGTAGGTGTTGTTGTTCTTATTGCTGCTGCTGCTGCTGCTGTTGTTGGCTGCTGCTGCGTCTGCTGCTGGTGCTGGTGTTGGTGCTGGTGCTGCTGTTGCTGCTGCTACTACTACTACTACTACTACTACTACTACTACTACTACTACTACTACTACTACTACTACTACTACTACTACTACAGGCTGATGCTGGTCGTGTGGTGTCGGTTAAAAATGGTGTTGTATGGGGTGGTGGTGGTGGTGGTGGTGGTGGTGGTGGTGGTGGTGGTGGTGGTGGTGGTGGTGGTGGTGGTGGCGGTGGCGGCGGCGGTGGCGGTGGGGGTGTGGGTGGTGGTGGTGGGGGTGGTGGTGGTGGTGGTGGTGGTGGTGGTGGTGGTGGCCGTGGTGGTGGTGGCGGCGGTGGTGGTTGTGGTGTTGGTGTGGCGGGGCGGGGGCGGGGGGGCGGGGGGGTGTGGTGCGGGTGTGGGTGAACAAGGCCCAGATAAGGCCCAGATAAGGCCCAGATAAGGCCCTTATCTGGGCCTTATCTGTCTGGGCCTACCCTGCCTTTCCCCTAACCACCACCCACCCCACCACCCCACCCACCCACCCCCCGAGCCCCCCACCACCCCCACCCACCAGCCCCGCACCCAGTAACCCCCACCCAGCCCACCCACCCCCCCACCAACCCAGGACATGCTAGCATTGGCATCATCCACCACATCACCCCAACGCATGACTGGTGTACTATTATAAGAATATCCTAGCAAAGCACGGCGCAGCCCAATCTCATTGGCTTAGCATGGCATAATAGCATAGGACGGTATAGTCCAGGCTGGTAAAGTCTAGGCTAGTTGAGTTAACACAGCATGTAGTGGCTGCCCGGACAGGGACACGACTCGCTCACTGGACTCGTAGTGCTACCGGTGCACGTGCATTGTAACATGAGTCCCACCGTGCCTCAGAATGATGCCACACCAGCTCAGTATCCCCTTAGCCTAGCAGGGATCGTCTTTGCATCGGTGCAATCCTGATACTGCATATAAACTACATGGATTCTGTGACTCGAACCTGTCCCAGTTCCCTGCTTCACATGGAGATGCATCCAAGTCCTCACTTCTTCTTGTTCTGAAGAAGAGCATCTATGACTGGCCCATCCTGCCATAGCAAAAGTGTTCAATCAAAGTTTGAAAAACAGATGGCACAGCTAATAGGAACACTGTCTCCATGCTCCAGCACCACTGCAAATTCCCGCCTTCTTCTTCTTCTCAGAGGATTTCTTGTTCACCTCCGCATTCATCTCGGCATCCGCCTTGGCCTTGTCTGCGTCCGCTTGCTTCTTCTTCTCCTGCTCGGCAGCCAGCTCTTTCTTCTTCTCCTCCTCGTCGGCAGCCGCCTTGGCCTTGTCTGCATCCTCTTTCTTCTTCTTCTCCTGCTCGGCAGCCAGCTCTTTCTTCTTCTTCTCCTCCGCTTCGGCAGCCGCCTTGGCCTTGTCTGCGTCCTCTTTCTTCTTCTTCTCCCGCTCGGCAGCCAGCTCTTTCTTCTTCTCCTCCTCTTCGGCAGCCGCCTTGGCCTTGTCTGCGTTCTCTTTCTCCGTCTTCTCCTGCTCGGCAGCCAGCTCTTTCTTCTTCTCCTCCTCCGCTTCGGCAGCCGCCTCGGCCTTGAGCGCGGCCTCTTTCTTGTTCTTCTCAGCCTCCTCTTCGGCAGCCGCCTTCTCCTCCTTGGCGACACGAAGCTTGTCATCGATCGTCTTTTCGTCGTAGGTCACGGCCCTTGAACTCCTGAGCAGCGCGTCGACGGTGTGCGGCGTATGCTTGTCGTTCGTCATACAGGTGACCATCCAAACATCCTTGGTGACATCCTTGTTCATGCTCCACTCGTCCCTCTTAGGCAGCAGGATCATCTTCTCGGACGCAATGTGCACCAACCAGGTCCCCTCGGCACACTTCACCAAGAAGGGCTCCTTGGCCTTGGGCTCCGGCTTAGGTGACTCAGCAAAAATCGATTCCACATCGCTGTTCTGCAGCGGCGGTGTGTCACCTTTCTCCTTCTTCTTCTCCGGCTCCTCGTGCTTGGTCGAAGGGCCACCACGCATTCCCTTCAGAAGTTTCGGGTCCAATGCCACGTGGTGTGGCTTGTCATCTGCCGGGTCATTCTTCTTCTGCTGCTCCTTCTTGCCGGACTTCATGCTCCCACGGCTTCTGCTCCGCTTGGGCCCTCTGCCACGTGGCGACGCGGGTGGGGTTTTGCTTGGGTGCCTGCTCTTGCCTTTGCTGGACCGCATGGAATTGGAAGGCGACCTGGATCTGTGCTTCGAGCGCTTGCCCCCCTCCGCATCCTTGGCCTTGTGCCTCTTCTTCTCCGACTGCACACGATCCTTGAAAATGTCATCGCACTTGGCCGGCACAAGACCGCCGGTGAGGATGGTCGTGCCAGCCTCGTCGACACCAAGCTGGTACTCCCGACCTGCGGTCAACTTGGGCAACGGAATGGCTGTGCCGGTCGCTTTCCTTGGAAGCAAGCACTCTACAGTGATAATGCAGGAACAGCAGCGACACTTCATTTATTCAATGCAACACATTGAAACGGGGCTGGAGCACTGCACTGAAAGACTCAATCATGTAGACTCATGTAACCGAACATGATTCGTCCCATCAGCCCCATCATGTGCTGCGACTGCACTGAACACACTGCTGCCAAAACTCTGTGTCAACATGGGAGCCTTGTCAGGGCCCCGCGTCATGATGACGTAGTCCTCGACTCTGGCACTGTTGCTGTCGGTCTCTTGGTCAGAGTCACTGGCTGATTCGTGCTTCCTGGGCTTCTTCTGCTTCTTGTACTTGGGACTGCGCTTGCCGTCAACGTAATCCTGGACCTCTTTCGGCAGTGGGGCGGGTGCTCCAGTTTCAGGGTCCTTGGCCGGAAGTTTCCATGCCCATCCACCCATGGCCTCCTTTTTCACACGTCCCTTCTGGAATTCCCGCATCTGCCACTTGCAGAAGCTGTGCATCTCGTTGACCCCCCATCCGGTACGGGCTGCCGGACGATTCCGTCGTTCATATTGTCCCTGCGCTGCGCGCACCACGGCAGCCTTGTTATCACACCTGCTTTTGCCTCCCATGGAAGCCACCCAAAGTTGAACATCAGTACCGAAAAGAGCTTGATTCTGCGTGCATCCTTCAGCGCGTCCTTGCTCAGGAACGTACCATCCGTCTCATCGAACCAGTTGAGGAGATGGCAGTTCACAAAGTCTTTGTAAGTTCTCTGGCTCTTGCAGTCTTCCTTCTCCACTCTGCGGCCGGTGCTGCTGTCCGTTTTGCTCTTCGGGTTCCTGGGCTTCGGCTTGTCTCCGGTCTTTCTCTTCGTGCCAGGTTTGTTGCTGCCAGTCACGGCAACAGGATCTATCCCACCCGGGAACATCTCCGATTCACCAGACTCAGAATCCTCGAGGAGTTTCTCTGCATCCTCGATTCTCTCGTCGCTGGAAGCAGAGGATTCACGTGGCTGCTCCTTGCGTTTTCCACCGCCCATGGGGAAGGGGTGACGAAAAGCTGCCCAACGTGGGGCTGCTGTGGGTTGCACTGAACTGGCTGCTAAAACCACCTCGAGTGTGCGAAAGATCTGCACGACACCAACGGATATCCTGCAATGTCATGATCATGTATGCATACGCTGGGCACTCAAACCTCAGGCTCACTGACTGCACCAGGCAACAAGCTGCAAGCTTCAGGGCATCATCTGCTGAAAGGCTCTCTTCTACTAGCACAGCAGCATGCCGTCAACCTGTGTTTTTGCGTCTGTCGTTTGCTGCTGCTGGATGTCACTACTCACTCGGGATGGATGTCCCTGTGGCAACACAACGCCACGAGGGCAACAACTGCTGCTGAGCAGAAATGAAAGGAGTTCCCAGCAACACTAGATGCCCGGCCAGAGTCCGTTACTGGCAGCAGCGGTACCCCCATGGAGGCAGCAACATCCGCAGTTACTGGGAAGCCAAGCGCCGCGAGTTTCTCGCGCGGTGTTAGCCAAACGTCAGTAGCAGGGTGATACAGAAAGCCGGAACTACAGCGAAAGGTTGGTATCTTCCCCGAAACTGCACTCCAGCACAAAAATTTGGGCGGGGTATCCCCGAGGTGAATAAAAAGGTTCCGGTCGCCAGACGGCTCCACGCCAAATCTGTCTTTGTAGATGCTGCACGCAACCGAGAGGGCCTGCTGCTCCCGCTCGTTCAAGAGAGACTTCATGTCCGCGATGCCCTCGGGTCCAGTGATTCGATTCCATCGGGCCGGGACATGAAACTCATCATTTCACTACACTCACGTGACAGGTGAGCTGTTGCACAACATGCGTGTGTTCCCCTTTAATTAATCAATCCTGCTGGGCTGCGGAGCGAAGGCGTTTGCGGCGCTGTGCCGCCACTCTGGAAACTTCCATGATGTGGTCCACCCGCGAAGCCACTAGATAGTCTTGCGGCTCCGTGGCAACAAGCCCAGATATGAAGTCCGACACCCTCGCATAAACATCAAGGACATCATGCACCTCCATCACCTTGCCCTTGCGCGCGAGGACCAAGTAGACCCGTGGCCGAGCCATTCCCGCATGACCTTGGTCGCTCGGGTCCACCAGCAGCTTCTTGATGGTGTAGTAGCGGCTGTACAGCCGCTCGATCATCTCCATACGTAGCTCCTCAACCACTCACACAACGACGCGAGCACACTTCCACTGTGTCTACATCTATTGTTCCCTCTAGCTCTCTCTGCATCAGAGTGTCTCGTACATTCTCAATGATGATCAGCTTGGTGCCTTTCTGCGCGTGCATCTTGGCGTGCGCCGCAAACACAATGGAAGTGCGGCCGTCTTGGAACCTCTGCAATCCTGCTCTCGACATGTCAGGGCAGGGGAGCCCACTGATATCCAAATCAGCAGTCTGTGCTTTTTTGCCAAACAGGTCGCACTTGCAGTTGTGCGTGTAGCAGTGGTGACGAACACGCAAGGGGGCACTGTTCACGGAACGAAGAAGCTGCTTGAATCGCGTGCCCGGAGCCTGTTCTGCGTCCATGGGTGGCAAGGTCAGGTCATCAGCAAACACTCTGGTAACATCCCCAAACACACATGGAGCATCTCGTGGTAGCCCCGCTGCTCTCTCACACCAGCGGTGGTGATCTGAGATGAGCTGCCGGCAATGCTCATCTATTTCCTTGGCTGCATTACTAGCATGTGGGAGTGCGCAGGCTGTTGTGGCACTACTGCTTTCAAGGGGCATGTGCAATGACCGGGTGGTATTCGATGGGTAACCCTAGTGTTTCTCGAGAGCACTCGTTCACGGTGCGCTCAACCACGGCCAAAGCCATTTCGGCCGTGAAGGCACCACTGCAGCAAGAGGATGTCCTTCTCACGGTCATCAACATAGAAGCCTGCCGACGGAGCAGCCAAGCTTCAGTGTTTCATGTGAACGCATGTAAGTTTACACATCCAACATTGCTCTTGCCTGCAAGTCTGGTATGGAAAGCATTTTCTGTATCTTGGCCCACGCCAGCTGCACGCAACGAGCTGCCTGTTGCAGCCGGTCCTCGTTGACCATATCCTGGAGAGAACACGGAAAAATCAGCCAACCACACAAACGTCACAGTACTCAATCATTCAACACCGCGCAATGAATACTGCGGTGTCCTCTACTGGGTTCGAAGAGGAAGACAGCGACGTCTGCGTCCCAACCCCTTCTTCAGAGTCGTCATCCGTCAGTGACGGCAACTCGTCTGTGGAATCAACTCCGCGCTTCATGACCGCTGGGCCCGCGGGAGCTGTGAAATGCAAGTTTACAAAGCCACGCACACTGCTAGCTGCTAGTCTGTAATACACAACTACGGTTGGCCTATCTCGTTCAGTCGACATTGGATAGGCTGAGCACATTGAGCCTGCTGAGTCACAGCCCCTCATGTTTTGGCTCGTGCCACACATGCACAACGGACCGTGCGCAGAGCAAAGTTTGAGACTCCGACGATGGGCGGACACCATCCACCTATCTGCTTCTCCGGCGACCAAAGCCAGACAAGCTCAGTTGGTCGCTTCGCGACGCTGCTGGCATCCATGTAAACCTGCATTGCGGGCGTAGTCTGATCGAACTGCAATGTTGCGCAACACCCGCTCACACACTAGTCTGCCTGTCAGTGCGACTGAGGGTTCAACGTGGAACTGGTGACAATCTTCAAGCTTCGTGCACAAACTGCTGAAATAGACAAACTCAGTTGCATGGGCCATCAAAACAGGAAACTGCTGCACACCTGCACATGCCAAGAATGCATCGAAGTGACCGTTGCCGGATGACTCACTGAAGCTGGCTTCAGTTTCTCCTTCTGCACCTTCGGAAGGCTTGAAATCGCTGAGGACAGCATTCGGTCCTGGCGAGGGTTGGGTATTCAGTGGAGGTCAGGGTGAGGGCGGAGGTGTTAGTGTAGTGTTACAACAAGCAGCTGCAAACAAGCTCCGAATCTTATACATTGACCTGTGACACCGTCCTCTCCAGACCAAACTTTGTTGGCAAGTCCCTCCACAAGTGTACAGTTGTTGCCTGATCTGCGTTTGCAGGTTACCTTTCCGGCAGTGCCACTTGGAAGCGCATCTACGGAATTGCGAATACGTGGGACAGCATCATCCAAAACATACGCCAGATGAGTCAGGAGTGTATACACCTTGCTTGTCACTTCATTTTTCAGAGCCATCGGGTGGCTGGGGTCCAGACAAAATGCCAGGACCTGAGCAAGCGGAAGTCTCGCCATCACTGGCTCTTTAGTGATCCATTTCTTCGTGGTGCTAGCCAGATCCTTGGCCCAACTTGCCTGCGCATGCAGTCGAAAGAAATCAAAAGTCCAGAATTCTTCACTGTCAATCTCACCTCTGGCATCCACATGCAGGCTTGTTCGGGCATTGTCCCCGAAACGTTCATGGGGCAAGCAAAGGCCACCCAAACACGAAGCCAGCATAACGAGGAATGTTGCAAATCCATCAGCAGCAAAACACCGAACAGATGGGTTGCGTTTGGATGCGCCCAGTGCAAACGCAACGTACGCAATGAGCATGGAAGTTGGCATGGTTAATTGCCGTGCCCAAAACGTCTGCTGGGGAGACTGTCCTTTGGTACGTCCCTGCTTGGGGTCCAAGAGCTTTACAGCAACTCCCGGCCACAATGCATGATGATAGTCTGTGATCGCAACCTGGTTCAAGCGGAAGCCTGTCACAAGCTTCTTGCCGATCTGGGTCTTGTTGAACAGCTTCAGGACCTGACGCAGGTGTTGGTTCGCACATTGTTAATCAATGTGTTGTCCGGATTTGGTTCATCCATTCAGAATTCAAAGTAATTCGGGCTTCGCAGTCTGGCCTCGTGTGCCACCCACTCCGCCATGCGGACATCTGAACAGTAGACAGTGATCTGGTGCCCACCGCACACCACCAGACCTCAACAGAGAAGTTATGTTTCACGAGTATTTTGTGCTAGCTTCCCGCAGTACGGCAGAGCAACTGAGCAGCACGCTCTCTGACGTGAACTCCAGCTCATCATGCGCATCATGCAAGGCACCGACGGCTTCATGTTCCATGTCATTCCAAAGCTTACAGGCTTCAGCTGATCCCTCGGTTTAGTAGAGCAGCACCTCTGGCCTGACCCTTCGCCTGTGGTTTGAAATTAGTAGAAAGGTTCAGTTTTTGGTCACGTTGGCAGTGAACTGACTCGATTACGGCTCCTGCGTGACGTTCATCGCTGCATGCCTTCCCTGTGACGAAGCTGGGCGAATGAGAAGTCATATTTAAGGTGACAGGTCAGGCAGGCACTAGCAACTCTCCAAGCTGGAACCCCACAACGATAATATGCAAAAACTATAAAAATGCAGGACCAAAGCGCGTTTTATCAGCCTGGAACAAACCAAACATGAAATCTGCTGAACTTTGACTGAAACCCGCCCTAACCGGAAATAAGCACGACTAAGTGCTATTCAGCCACTAAATAGTGGATGGTTGGGGTGCCATCATTTGGGGGGGGGAGTAGTGCATGGGACAGTAGGACATTCTATGATATTTAGGCTTTAGGGTAAGGTTTGGGGCAGAATGGTTCACCCTTGGCCTGAACGAAAATAGGAGGTGTGCAGTAAACGAAAGTCATCGATCATGCAACAGCTGCATCGTTGGAAACATGCCCGTGAGCACTCGATGCAACATCATACAGATCTAATCTACCATACCATACTATCACACAGAACTCTAGTCTAGTACTATACCACGCGGACGCTGAGTAAATCAGCTAGCGCTTCGGATTCAATCCGGACAAGCACCTTGGGAAGGCTATCGGCCACAATCCATAACTAAAAGTATCACTTGAATTACCTCCAGCAGCATGCTCACAACAATCATCGGCATCATTACCACAACCATCATCCTAATAATCCAACTAGCTTCAATACTAACTGACCCTAATCATCATCGCGCATCTTGCGACCGACGATAGACTAGGTTCGTGGGAAGATCAAACTCGTCAGTTTGATAGTTTTCTGGCCTTCGCAAAGTTGCAGCCAGTTAATGCTTCAGCTTGCAACTGCGAGACTGTTCTTGGGAGGTAATATAGGGGCCTCAATAATCAGAGCAGGGTTTTGGGGCCCATCATACTATAGTTCATAATCAGGAACCCCCCCCAAATAGTATTGGCAAGTATTTTCTATATCAGCCCGCGCAAGTGCCAACTCCAGACAAAGCAATCTGACTGGCTCTCCAGTTGCCGGCGGCATGCTCATAAGAGCATTGTCACATCACCTCTACAGAGTCCATTATAACTGCAGCACAGTGCAAAATACCCCATGATAATGAAAGTATAATACACCTCCTTATGATTATAGTATAATGCGGAATGGTATGACCCCTCCGTCTGATGTGATTATCACACCGAAAGCCCCGGCTTGCTCTAAGTGATCTGGTCAAGAGGAATTCCTCCTGCGCATCGCCGGCAACGATGTCATAAAGAGAAAACGTACCATTCGAACCCAGAGTGCTGCCGCCGACAAAGCAAACCATCAATATCGAAGCTGGCGCGAGGTAACTGGCGTTTGTTTGACTACATGAGCGCTGCGAGAATTTCCTCCACCGGTCGCTAGGATCAGCCTCTGACATGCACAGAAACGCCGCGTGAGCCTTATACTTCTCTTCGGATTCCGCATGGAGAGCTGGTGGTGCAAAGCCACTCGGGGGTAAAACATCGCGAGAACGGACCAGCATCATAGGCATCATCGGGGGCCTGTTTCTCCTGTCGAAATCCGTCGTGTTATCCAAGAATCAAGAAATTTTGTGCTCCTCTTCATCTGGTGCGGAGAGATATGTCCGGTACCTATAACCTACAACTTCACTCAACAGAAGACTAAACCCTAAACCCTAAACCTGAAGACCCAACTGTTCCAACTGTGAGACCAGGCCTTCTGTTGATTGCCCCAGTGAGTGCCAAAATGACCTCGAAGCTCCTCGTACTTCCTGGGCTATGCTAGGGTTTAGGGTTTAGGGTTTAGGGTTTAGGGGGGTCCACGTAATCCTTATTTAGGGTTTATGGTATCCAAGAAGGCACAAAAGTCCTATAATATTGAACACTTGGACCCTTAGCGATATACTACGATGCCAATGTCGGGGCCTTGATGGTTATGATCTTCCCTTGCTTTGCTGCTGCTGTCGCTAGAGCTGGCTACTACGACGACTGCTACCGCCACTAGCCCTAACACAAACGCTACTACTACTGCTGCTGCTGCAACTGCGGCTACATCGGCCACGGCTAAGAAGAGGACGACGACGACGACGAGGATGGCGACCTATGACTACAACGACTACTACGACACGTATGCCGACGATGGCGACTGCGGATGGCATGACTAAAGCCGAGACAACGACCATGCGATGTCCCAGATGCCACACGGCAACCCTGCCCCAGTGCGTATAATTCCCTCGCGATTGAAAGCAGCTGAACCACAGCGGAGCTTGCGATTCTTTTCAAAGTTGCATGAGGTTGAATGTTGTTGATCCTACACCTTTACATACAGGATTCGGAGTTCAAGGTTTAGCTCCTACTGGCAGCAGCCCTTGAAAAAAGTCCCTGCTGTTCAGCAATTCCTGTCTAAATCAATGAGAGATTTGCACGACAGTCATACAGGAGCCGGTACGTGCGTCTGGGCCTGTGGACAAGAAGCTTATTATGTAGGGGCCTGAATAATTACCTATACTATTTTGAGGGTTCCTGGAGAGACTTTTTAATAATGGCGCAAAAACAAGGAAGAATAACTGCGATTATTCCGTGGATTGCGCTATTACTGTGCACGCTTGTTCCTTATTATAGTTATAGTACAATGGGCCCCAAAACCCTGTTCTGTTTTTTTCGGCCCCTATATTACCAGACCAAGCCCGATAAGTAACGATCAATGGTCATTGCAAGCCACAGACCTTGACGGTTTAGGGTTTAGGGTTGGCCACTCGCTCTCTCTTGCATGTTGATGCATTGCTTTATCGCTCTTCACGGCATCAAAATAGCTAGACTCACAATGAGCACGGTGGGAATCATTGTGGTCCCCATAAAACTTGGCTATAAGAATGGTTGTCATAATGCTTTTTTTCTGAATAGCTCTAAGCCCCGCCAGTCCCAAACCCTTAAGTATCAAGAATAGGGTTTGGGGGTACACCATACTCTACAGAACGAATCATATACCCTAAGAGCCCTTCTACATTCACGCCTTAATGGTCAGCAGACGCCGAGATTCTTCAGGCCAGGGTAAGAATGCGCTGGAAGCATCCTGGGAAGGTTACAATCAACGCGGGCAAAGAAGCTAGGGTGGGGGTTTAAGGATGAATATAGGGGTTTTAATAATCAAAACAGGGTTGTGCGGTATATTCTACTACAGTTCATAAGAAGAAGCCCCCGAATTAGCAAGGTTCTTAGGGTTGCAGGTTCTAGATTCTAGAGCCGCTTGGGGTGTATGACTTTTACAAGGGGTCTGATTTCATCCACGACATCTAGCGAGGTTTGGGAACTCAGGGTTCGTGTACAAGTGGGAAGGAACCAGACGAAAACCGGAGACTGCCATTCCCGGATGGTAGTAGCGCGAGTACTCGCATTAGCGATCAGAAAAGAAATGCGGACAGGGATGCGAATAGGAATAGGAATTGTATGCAAAGTCTTGTTCTGCACCCCAAGCCCCTCAAAACCCTGAACCCCTAAATCACAACCCCTAAAGCTTAAACCCCAAACCCTTCCTGGTCATGCCCACACCAGTATCGTATTAGGGGCCTTAATAATTAGAATAAGGTTATGGGGCCCATTATTTAATTCTAATAAGGAACCCCACACTCTAAACCTCGAAGTCGTGTGAATCCCCTGGAGCTCCTGCCACTGAGACCACTGGAATAGGGCTCTAAGTGAAATTATGCTATAACCACAAGGAATCCCCAAACCAATGCAACACGCAGCCCTGCCGTGGAGAAGGTCCGAAAAGCCGTCAAATCAGATCGAATCAGACTTGGGATTCCGCTCAGCGGTTGAGGGTTTACGGGTTTAGGGTTTGGGACCGAGGTTTAGGGGTTTAGGGTTTAGGGATTGGGACCGGGGTTAAGTGTTTACGGTTTTAGGGTTTAGAGTGTATGGGATACTTGGTACACATCGGTATCTTGGGATAGTTGGGTTGGGATGCCACACGATCCGAACAAGGTCAGAGCTTCTGGAGGCTCCTATGCCAATACAAATGCCATCATCGTTGTATACCTAGGTATAAGGAACCGTAAGGAATTGTTTTTACCAACTGTGGTAACGACCTCTATTAGGCCACCCCCCCCAGAGGCCCTGCACCCTAAACCAAAAGCCCTGCAGCCTAAACCCTCAAACCGTAGGGGGGCATGGTTCTCTCCGTGGGTGTAGACGTTGACGCCACGGCCTTTGCACTGCTCCAGCAGCTTCCTTAGAATAGCGCTTCGGGCAGAATTGAATTTGGAGTCTGAGCGATTACAATCAGTAGTCCTCTATATAGTCCTTAAATATATATATATATATATATATGTAAGTATAGCATACCCCAAAGCCCTCTTCTGAGCCCTGGGGACCTAGGGCCCCTATTTCAGTGCACTTTGCTTCACGGCTTGGGCGTTAGGGCTCTTGGTAAAAGGCCCAGAGTGCTCTCTGACTCTGCTCTGACCCTGGATTATGATGTCTGCTGCGTATGTCGTTTCCCCAAGTTTCGGGACCTATAGGGTTGACGTGTAGAGTTTTAGTATGGTTACCACTGCTGGTCTAGTCGATATCTTGTCTTGCTTGAAACTTTTGGCTTCTTTCGACATGTATGCATGTATGAGCGCATGCCGGCATGGATGGATGGATGCATGCATGGATGGATGGATGGATGGATGCACGGGCGGATGGATGTATGGGGTTTTGCGTGAACATTATATGCATATATAGCAGATAGATAGGTCGATAGACAGATTGACAGATCGATAGCTAAGACTCTGAGGGATACAACTGGTTCAGCCTAGTCACCCCAGGATCGACAAGTCATGGCCGGAGACGAGGATGGCCGGGGCTTTCGGGGGC